GAGGAGGAGGAGGAGGAGGAGGAGGAGGAGGAGGAGGAGGAGGAGAAGAAGAAGAAGAAGAAGAAGAAGAAGAAGAAGAAGAAGAAGAAGAAGAAGAAGGAAGAAGGAGGAGGAGGAGGAGAAGAAGAAGAAGGAAGAAAGAAATTATTGATACTTAGTTTAAGAATGCATTTAGAGCCTTGGTCTACAGAACAAGTTCCAGGATAGCCAGGGCTGCACAGAGTAACCTTGGGGGGTGGGGGGGGAGCTTTTAGAAAATACACATCTACAAACATTTCCTATCCCTATACTCAGAAATCAGACTTAAAAAACACCCTACACGAGCATTTATAAAGCAAACATCTGGTGTCAACAATTAAGACTGAATCTGAAGGGAGTGGAGATGCCTTAGCAATGAAATGTTTACTGCTCTTGCAGAGGACCCACACAATAGTTCACAACAGGCCGCAGCCCAGAGGACCCACACAATAGTTCACAACAGGCCGCAGCCCAGAGGACCCACACAATAGTTCACAACAGGCTGCAGCCCAGAGGACCCACACAACAGTTCACAACAGGCTGCAGCCCAGAGGACACACACATCAGTTCACAACAGGCTGCAGCCCAGAGGACCCACACAACAGTTCACAACAGGCCGCAGCCCAGAGGACACACACAACAGTTCACAACAGGCCACAGCCCAGAGGACCCACACAACAGTTCACAACAGGCTGCAGCCCAGCTCCAAGGGATCTGGTGCCTTCTTTTGTTGTAGCCTCCATAGGCACTACCCTCACATGCATCAATTCCCACACAGACACAGATACATAAATCTTAAAAAATGAATCTGAGGGACTGAGGCTGTGTCTCAGTAACAGAGAGCTTGCTTAGTATACCTGAGCCCTAGGCCCAGTTTTTGTTTTGTTTTTTTTCTTTTTTGAGACAGGGTCTCACTTTGTCTGGCTGTCCTGGAACTCACTTTGTAGACTAGGCTGGCTTCAAACTCAGAGATCTGCCTATCTCTGCTTCCAAGTGCTGGCATTAAAGGCATTCACTACCACCCCAAATCTTTAAAAAAAAAAAAAAAACTGGAAACAAGAAGAGTGTCAAAAAAACACACACATGAAACTATTAACCTGTGCACTGTGCCTCACATCTGTCCACCAGGCACTTGGGGAGCTAGGGCAGGCTTACAGTTTGCAAGATGAGCCTGATCTACACAGGGAATTCCAGGCCAGCCTGGGATAAAATGAGTCTCTGTCTCAATAATCAAATAAATGGGCTGGAGAAATGGTTCAGTGATTAAGAGCACTGGCTGTTCTTGCAGAGGACCCAGATTTGATTCCCAGCACCCACATGGCAGCTCACAACCACCTATACCTCCAGTTCTGGTGTATCTGACACTGTCAGAAGTGTTGAACAGATAGCCAGGTTGGTAAAACACCTATACACATCAAAATAAAAGCTGTACTTTTATTCTTAGATCTTACATATACACATCAGCATTAAAATTTTTATTTTAGTTCATAATGAACATTTTCTAGTTTGGGCACCATGTGGAATAAAACTTTAACACAGTCACGATCCAATTTTTCCTACTACAAATCATAAAGATACTAAAAATTGGTCAAACCTACCTTACAGAGCCACTTAGCTTTCCTATTAAGTCTCAATCTCAAACACAGTTCTACTCTCTGCTACCAGAAACCTAAAGCCTTACAAGAACTACATTTACAACTGGGTTCTGACTCCTTTGGCTTGGCCCATGTTGATGAAAGCACGTGATGCTGCTTCTAACTAATCAAAAATTCTGCAAGCTAGCTATAAAAGGAGATACTTTTTTTAACCAAAAATTTCCCACTGCGTTTTGAAAAGTTGGACCTCCGAGACTAACTGGGCTTAGACACCTACTAAATGGATAATCAATCACTAATCACTCCTATGGCACGTAACTAACTGTCTTTAATCCCAGCACTCGGGGAAGCAGAGGCAGGCAAATCCCTGGGAGTTGGAAGCCAGCCTGATCTACAAAGCGAGTTTGAAGGCAGCCAGGACTGTTACAAAGAGAAACCCTGTCTTGAAAAACCAAAATTTAAAAAAAAAAAAAAAAAAAAAAAGAAAGAAAGAAAAGAAAAAATGGCTAAAAATAATCAGGCAAACCAATTCTCAATTTTTAACAGTACAACACATGATCCATACAAAGACAAAACACAATGTAAATGAATAAAGAAAACAAAAAACAACAGAGGCAGAGTGCTTAACTCAATCATTTGAAGACACACATCAATAGTTTAGGGCAGCAGGTCAAAACACAGCCAATTAAGTAATTTAAGCAAAGCTGGAATAAAGTTACAGACAATATCCAAACTTTTGGAAATGGCAGTAAAATTGTCAAGAGTTTAGTGGTGTGCTCTTGGGCATCGGGAAAGAGACTGTCCTGAATTGAGGAATTAAAAGCCTTCTAAGAACTCCCACTCACCTTTCCTCCTTTCGTCAATGATGTAAGGCCAGGCTGGTTCCTGAGAAAACTGGTCTGGAGGTTCACTGAAGAACTGAGAAAAGTTAAAGTTTACATGGCAAAAGTGTCTCTTCTTCTGAACGTAGTCAAAACATGTATGACCACACTTTACTATTTTTTTTTCAGTCCTTCTCAGAACCATTTAAAACCAAAATAACTTGACTAATTCATTGCTGACTACTAAACAAAACCCATACGCGGAAAGTAAATACAAAGAATTAACACAAGATCTAAACGCCAAGCGAGTTATCTCCCAGCTCCACCAACACTAAAAAGTCGTTTATGAGGAAAACCTGCATCTCTTCAACTCTAAACCAAACCACCTCGCATCCGAAGCTACAGAGCGCGGGGGAGGGGAGAGGGGGGAGAATCCGGGGGAGAAAGTGATAGCGCTAGTGCCGGTTTGTTTACAGACTCTACCAACCATCATGAGTCAGAAATTCAAGCCACCAGATGCTTTCCAACTAATAAGGACCAAGTGGGGCCGTCCTAAGGTGTCCTAAACGATTTCGGGACAGGGGAAAAGTACACTAAGAGAATTATATCACAAAGCGTCCAAGACCAGACCTCAAGTACACACTGCCGGTTTCTTGGACCTCGGCCTTCCGTACAAGGTGCTGCTGGGCCCGAGAACTTGGGATGGGGGAGGGGGACACATCGCGCGGTGGCCCTGGAGTGACAGGGAGACGCACACAGAACCGGGTCCTCAAATTAAGAGAGAGGGAAAGGAGAGCCTGCAAATGGGTCACCGGTCGAACCCAAAGCCCCTGTGAATGATGGGGGTAGCCCGAGGGGGCAGTCCCGGGGCTGACCTGGGCAAAGGACAAGCAGTCCTCCCAGCACTGACTCGGGTGAGGGGGAAGGAGACCTAAACCCCGGGAGCTCAGGAAAGGGATCGGGCCCATCCTGCGGGGAAGCGGTCAGGGAGAGGGGAAACAGGCCGAGCCGGAACGAGACACGGACCGGGTAGGTCAAGGGGAGGGCGTCCGGCTGGGGCAGTTACAAGCACGGGAGCCGGCGAGGCTCGGCAGCCCGCTTCCCGTCTGGGGTCATCCTTCTGCCAGCGGATGCTCCGACTGTTCCAGGCCCAGCCGCCCCGTCCACTGCCGCCACCAACGCCGCCGCCATCTTACACTGGCCAGCGGCAGCCACCACCGCCGCCTCGGGTCTCTGCGCCTGCGCCTGCGCCGTCACGCTTTCCGGCCGGGTTTGCGACGCTGTGCTGGAGGAGACGGAGCGAGAACGGTCGCGCGAGCTCTCGGCTCCCAACCCTCCCGGTGGCCGCACGAGGGGCGGGGCTTAAGGCCAACCGAAGCGGTGAGGGGCGCGTGCGCGCTGCGGAGGAGTCGAGCTGTTTTCCTAGCTTCAGAGTCATGGCTTGTCTCCTGGTGTCCAAAACACGTGTGATTTAGGGGCTCCTTAGCGTTGTGACGGAAAATGGACCTGACTTCCAGGGGACTGGCAGGCAAATCACTAGGCGTCCTCCAGTCCCGAGGTTCTAACTCTTGCCACATTTCTTTTTTTTTCCCTTCCGAGACAAGGTTTCTCTTTGTAGCCCTGGCTGTCCTGGAACTCCGCTCTGTAGACCAGGCTGGCCTTGAACTCAGCCTCTGGCCCCCAAAGGCTAGGATTAAAGGTGTACGACACCGCGTCTGGCATAATTTTTTAAGTTAGCATACAAACAGGTTTCAAGCTGGGCATAGTGGTGCACGCCTAACACTTAGGAGGCTGGGGCAGGATATACACAAGTTGGAGGTCAACCTAAACTAATTCACCCCCAGCACACACATACACACCACACCACACACACACACATACACACACACACACACAAAAAAAAAAAAAATAATAGATTTCCTTGTGGTATTTATATATATATATATATATATATATATATATATATATATATATATATATGTGTGTGTGTGTGTGTGTGTCATACTTGCTGGTCCCCTTCCCCAATAACCTTCTTTCTCCTTGTTGGATACCTTCAATTAGTTACTCTTAGCTATCATGACAAGTGTATATTCCATTCCTCTTGTTTGTTTTTCAGCACTGGCTGTCCTGGAACTCAGAGATCTGCCTGTCTCTGGTTAAAAGCATATGCCACCACCTTCAGGCTCTGTTTCCTTTTCTTATCTCCTATTCCATTCCCTCTCTTTATCTCTTCCTTGCCTCTCAGGCTCCTTTCTACTTCCCTGTTAAATACAAATATGTGTAATGTATATACACACACACAAATTTAAATCCAGATTCTGCATATGGGAGAGAACATGTCATCTTTGTCTTTCTGAATTTGGTTTATGTTGCTTACCATAATCCATTCTGCAAATATCATTTCATTCTTCATAGCTGAAAGACTCCATTGTGTATATATTCCGTACTTTCTTTACTCATTCATTTGTGTATGGACATCTAGTTCTATTCCATAATTTAGCTGTTGTGAAACTGCAGCAAAAATATGGATATGCAAAGTAACTCTGCAGGCTAATGGCTTCCAGTGACTTTTGTATATTGTTTTGTGCTGACACCTAAAGAAAGCCTACACAGGATTCTAGATTAGTCCCAGCTAGGAGGCTGGGACACCTTTATTTGTTGCTAAAGATGTTGTTTTAGACAGAGTCTCCTGCACCTCAGGCTGCATTCCAACTCACTGCATAGCTGAGGATGACCTTCTATTACAGATCCTCCTACCTCTACTCCAGAGTTGGGATTACTGGTGTACGTCACCATTCCCAGTTTATGGAGTGCTAGAAGTTGAGCTGCAGGGCTCTGGACATGTTGAGACATGTTGAGAAAGTACTCTACCAAGTAAACTACATCTTCAGCCTCTTTTTCTTTTAACCAGAAGGTCAAGGAGTTCAGACTCCTCAACGCTGACCTATACCAATACCATTCCCTCCCTCCCTTCCCCACTTCAGTTCTTTGTTTTTGAGACAGGTACTTAAGTAGCCTAGAACAGCTTTAAATCCACTTCTATACCTACTGTCTCAATCTCATGAAGGCTGGGCATGCATCACCATGTGTGATTTTATTCATCGTTGGGAATCAAACTGAGGGCTTCATGCATCCCAGGCAAGCACTCTCTACCAGCTGAGCTATGTTCCCAGCCACATTCTATTCCAAGCTGTCTCTTGCTTAACTGCTTGCTGCAGTAGACATGTGATTAATACTGTTAACTTGACAAGGTCCATAATTAGTTAGGAGACAAGCCTGTAGGCATGCCGGTGAGGGATTACCTAGATTAGGTTAATTGAGGTGGGAAGCCCCACCTTAACTGTGGGTGGCATCATTCCATGGGCTGGGGGTTTGACTGAATAAAAAGGAGAAAGTGAACTGAGCACCAGTATTCATCACTCTGTTTCTTGACTGTGAACATAATGTGACCAGCAATCTCATACTCCAGCTGCCATGCCACCCCCATCATGATGAACTTCCCTTCAAACTATAAGCTGAAATAAACCTTTGCTTGAGTTTCATAGGTTACATAATTTGCCCAGCTATTAGGAAAATAAATAACACAGCTAGTTTGTCTGTTTCCATTAGTGCTTTGATACAATCAAACATAAAACAGCCAGGGTGTCTTTAAAATGTAAGTCAAGTCATAGTCTCCTACCCAAAACATTCAATACTTTACCATCCCATACTAAAAATCATTATTATTGGAACTGGAGAGATGGCTCAGCAGTTAGGAGCACTAACTGCTCTTCCAGAGGACTCAGGTTCAAGTCCCAATACTCAACATGGTGGCTAACAAAATCCATCTCCAGGAGATGATGTCCTCTTCTGTCTCTGGAGGCATTTACACAAAAGTGGTACACAGGGCTGGAAAGAAGGCTCAGAAATTAAGAGCACTGGCTACTCTTCCAGAGGTCCTGAGTTCAATTCCCAGCAACCACATGGTGGCTCACAACCATCTATAATGAGATCTGGTGCCCTATTCTGGCCTGCAGTCATACATGCAGGCAGAATACTATACATAATAAATAAATAAAATCTTTTTTTAAAAAAAATAAAGTGGTGCATAAATTTATATAAGTGCAGGGATGGCACATGCCTTTAGTCCTAGCACTGAGGAAGCACAGGCAGGTGGATCTCTGTGAGATCGAGGCCGCCTGGCCTACAAAGAGAGTTCCAGGACAGTCAGGGCTACATAGAGAAACTCTCTTGAAAAAAAAATTTTTTAATGAAATTATCACAGGTTCTGCATGATCTGGTACCTGTCTTATTTCTGATTTTATCTCTTCCCTGGCTCCCTGGATCTGCTCTAGCCTCATTACCCTTCTTGCTATCACAAAACTCACAGTATGTTCCAGCTCTAGTTTGGTGTTTTACTTTGGAATATTCAGCTATAATATTAGACTGCATCTTTCCTCTTAAGTCAGGTCTCTATACAATTGGTACTTAAGTGAGGCAGCTCTTGACTATTTGGAATAACATATCATTATCTATCTCTATTCCCATTCTGCACTGTTTATTAATTAATTAATTAATTAATTAATTAATTTATTTATTTATTTTAGAGACAGGGTCTCACTGTGTAGTTCTGGCTGGCCTTGAACTCCTGAGTGCTGAAATTAAAGGAACTGCCACACCTGGCTCTGCTTTTATTTTTAAGAGAAGAGGTCTCACAGTTGAGTGTGGTGGCCCAGCACTTGAGAGATGGAGGCAGGATGAGCACTTGAAGGCCATCCTGGGTTATACAGGACCCTGTCTGAAAAACAGACAAGTGGAAAAGTAGGGAGTGGGCAGGCCTCTAGCTCTTGGGCTCAAGTGATCTTCCAGCCTCAGCCTCCACAGCTGGAGTACAGATGTACACTACTGCACCCAGGCTGCATTACTTTTTCACGTTTTACTTTATAATACTTAACCTATAAGTATATATTCAATTTAATGTGCATGGGTGTTTTGCCTGTATCTCTGGTCACGGCTTGTGTGAGTGCAGTGCCTGTGGAAGCCAGAAGAGGGCAGCAGATCCCCTGGAACTGGAGTCACAGCTGATTGTGAACTGCCATGTGAATGCTGGAAGTCAGACCTCTGGAAGAGCAGCCAATGCTCTTAATCACTAGGCCATCTCTCTAGGCTCCAATTATATATTTTAAATCTAACTATGTTATCAGAATGTAGGTTTCTGAGGACAGGAACTATCCCTCTTTCATCTTTGTAACCTTAACACCTAGAACGCTAGTGAGCAAAGAGGTTAATGTCTTGTCATCCCACTTCATTCTTCCATCAGTCAGCAACTACGTACTGCATCCCTATTACATGGGAGGCCTTGATCTTGGCACTCCAGCAGTGAATAACACAAACCAAGATTCTTTTGTTTACACAACTTTTTAGTGCAGGGGTTGGGAGTGCAGGGGGAGGAGAGATACACAGAAAATAATAAAAAGTTACGAAGCTTGTTGTGAAGTTAAACAAGGTAAAGGCAGGTTACCAGCTCACCAGGTTAGCAAGATGGGTGTGCTCTTTTATCCTGGGAGTTTGGAGAAGGCCCCTTTGCTGAGATGTGCTTTGAATACGGAGTTGAAGTGAGAAATTGAGCTATACACATCTGGGGGCAAGTGTTCCACCCTAGCTGATTTCCTCAACTGCCTTCAGGGAGGCAAAACAGAAGCCGACAGACTCGTTGGGAAGGTATTGCCAAAGGCCTGCAGGACTAGTGTTGCAGTACACGCGGTGTGAAGCCGCTGCATGGAGGTGTACCTCAAAGTGGCAAAGAGGTCAACTTGCTAACAGACTGAACTCTCAGATGCGAGAGAAGAGGGAAAACGCATGGATGTGTTGGCTTATCTTAACTAAACAAACACTTATGCTTTTCACTGAGGTACATGTTGGGGAACAGGTGCAGGTTTTGTGAGGGGAAACGTTTAGCTCTGTTTGTCAAATACCAAAGCATGGAGTTTTATGCTACAGAATTAAGCAATCTTACTTCTCATTGGCAAAGACTGTTGACTGCAATGGTTCCTAGTTTGTTTGAGCCTGGTTATAATGATTTAAAATTCACAATCCAAAACCACAATTCCTGTTGCATCTACCTAATAAGATGGACCACATTAGTACCTACCCAACCTTAGGGCTGGGTTAGTGTGACAATAACCAGCTCTGAAATGGGGGAATCTGTTACAGTCAGCCACCTTTCTTTCTAAAGGGAGGAAAGGTTTATTTTGGCTTAGGATATCAGGATTCAGGCCATGGTTGCCTGGCTCCATGTGCTTGGGCAGAACATTACAGCAGGAGATGGGGTGAGGGTGTTCTTGGCTTCTTGGCAAACACGAAGCAGAGAAACGGGATTAAGAGAAATGGGAAGAAGCCAAGAAGATCTACAGCCTCAAGGGAAGGTAGTGACCTACCTCCTCCAACTAGGCACCACCCTGTCCTACCTTTTACCACCTCTCAATAATGTCATCATATTATGAATACAGTAAGTGAAAACTCCGTTGATTACATTGGAATCCTCAGGATCTAACTGTTTCTGGAAAACCATGGTATTTCACTCACCCCTAAGGTATTTTTATTAACATTTTAAAAATATTTTTTGATCATGTTTTCCCTTCCCTTAATTACTCCCAGATCCTTGACACCTGCCTACCCACCCAACTTTATATCCTGCTCCCCACTCAAAAAAAAAAAAAAAAAAAACCAAACACAAAAGAACCACAAAACCCACAAAAATGAAAATCAAAATAGTCTAAGGACCAGTAAGACCCCCCCCCAAAAAAAAAGCCAAAACAAAGCAAATCAAAACAAAATCTACAAAAATACCACTGGAGTGTGGTTGACATACCCAGAGTCACCTAATACTTTAGGTGCCGAATTTCAACAGCATGTCAAGAGATGCTATTCAAATGATAGCTTTGTTTGCTAAAGACACAGCCTCACTCCAAAATCATGAATGTTTAGATTCCATACAGATACCCCTAGTACCGTATTTTTCAGGTCACATGCCCCACCCCCATGACTGGGAACCTGCTACAAAACTTTGAATTCCTAAGTGCGGACTATGCTGTCTCCAAAACTGTGAAGGCTTACCATAACTGGCCTTTCACTTTAGAGGAAGGAGGCATGCTCCAGCATGCTTCAGATCACCATCTTCTAAAAGTTTCACCAATGTGGCAGGTCCTGACACTTTTGCAAGATCTATCTCCCGTCCTGTCTCACCGAAGAATGGAAAAGTAGCTCCACTGCTGGGCCATCATTTGGCTAACATATCCTTAAGACCTAATTAGCATACTCTTACTGAAACCAACAAATATGATATTCTGCAGAATGTCCAGGTCCCTTTCTATAGCCTAGAGTGAGAATGTACATGTTCAAGGTTAAGACTGTGATAGACTGTCATCTATCCCTTATGAATACAAACTACTTCTGATACTTTCTGATGGGAACTGAGAGCATATGTTCACTAAGCTGGGTTTGTGAGCTTAGTTCAGTTACTAAATATTTTAGGCTTTGCAAGTCATACTGTCTGTCACTATTCTATGTGGCCAAAAACATTCAAAGACAGTATATAAATGATCAAGAATGTCAATAACTCTGTGAGTTCGAGGCCAGCCTGGGCTACCAAGTGAGTTCCAGGAAAGGCGCAAAGCTAAACAGAGAAACCCTGTCTCGAAAAAACAAAAAAAAAAAAAAAAAAAAGAATGTCAATAAACCTTTACAAAACCCAGGCAATTGGGCCTGTGATGGCTCATTATCAGTGGGTAGACATTGGCTAATAAGGGTGGATGGAGAAAACTGACTCCATATAGTCGACTTCTGACTTCCACATGTTCATGACCTCACCCCATCAACTACACACACACACACACACACACACACACACACACACACACACACACACACACAACTGGGGGACCATACTTGACTCATAGGCTGTAATCTGTTGACCCCCACGTAGCTGTCACATAACCTATACCAGATGTTGTGCTCTTCTTTTCAACAAGGAAAACATCTGACACAGCAGTGCTCTGGGGACTATGACTAGCTTGAGCTTGCAAGCTGTCCACCAGCCAGTTTTTGCAAAAGCCAGAAAGACTAAACTAAATGAGGATCTGAGGTACCCTTTGAGGGTGATCTAATCCTCGCCATTGCCCTCACAATATAGCATTATTTTTATCTTGACAGAGGTGGCGATGCAGTTCCAGGATTTTCTGCTTGGTCTTTCTGCTAAATTGGCAGGTCAAAGAGATGCACATTTGGATATTGCTGAAATGATCAGAAGATAGAATCTGTAGATCTGTAAGGTAGGTTTAGTTCAGCATTCCACTTATTCTATAGCCAGTTATTTCCCTAAATGGGGAATGTCTGAAGAAGAGACATTGCTTTGGTGCTTTCAATCTATGGATATCAGTATTAACACAGAGTTGTCATCTGTATGTGATTTTTAATTTGTGTGTATTATGAGTTATGCCTGTAACTCATGTAAGTGGACCACATACATGTAATGCCCACAGAACCCAGAAAAGGGCATCAGATGCCCTGGAATTGGAATTATACACAGTTGTGAGCCACCATGTGGGTCTTCTGCAAGAGCAGCAAGGACTCTTAACCATTGGGCTACCTCTTGATCACAGTGATGGTTTATCTTGAGGTTAATTTATTGGATCTGGAATCTGTCAAGAAACACACTGTGAGAAGATCCGTGAGGGCATTTTCTCTGAAGGACTGAGAGGGGAAGGCCCTCTGCCAACTGGGAAGCACCTTCTAGCTGAAAGCATTACTTGCCTGCTTGACTGCCTTGTTGTTTTTTCAAAACAGGGCTTCTCTGTGTAGCTTTGGCTGTCCTACAACTGTCTCTGTAGACCAGGCTGGCTTTGAACTCAGAGATCCACCTGCCTCTGCCTGCCAAGTGCTGGGATTAAAGGCCTGCGCCACCACCGCCCGGCTCGCCTTGATTCTTACAGGTGTATGTCTATCCCATTACCGTTGTTGCCATCAGAACTCAGCTCCTTTAGTGTCTCAGTGTTTCTGCTCTCCAGAAACTTTCTAAGTAGGCCTTCAGCACCAGACTGGGACTACGGAGGCATCTAGACTCCTTAACTGAACAAGCTCCTAGTTCTTAACCTCTCCATCAGGTTTACAGCCACTGCCAGACTACTTCTTCCATGTCATGTAAAGCCATCTAGTAAGTTCCCTTTGAAACTTGTAATATATTCATTCTCTGAGTTCTGCTCCTCTAGAAACCCCAGATTAACACTGTATCCCACCTTCTTTGGGTGTTCTGAGTGTACTGGTAACTAAACGACCTTTCAATTGATAGTTTGTAACTCTGATGCTGAGTAGAACTTAGAGCTTTCCTTTGAACTTGATTTTGAAGGTCTTGTTTCTATTTCTTGGTTGCCTGTCTGCCCTGCTCCTAAGACCACCTGGCTCTATTAGCAATCTCCACTCAATCTGTTTCCCTCGTAGAAAAGCTGCCACTCGGCTTTTGACAGTTAAGTGCTGCCTTGGCTTTCCAGAGGAACATGACGGTGAGTTCTTCAGTTCTACAGCAAGTACCGCATGTCCACTTCCTGAATCCTTTTTGTACATTTTTGTATTATCTGCCATGTCTACTTAATGTGGGACAGGGATGGAAGGAGGATCAGTGGTTGAGAGCTGTCTGCTCTTTCAGAGAACCAGACTTCAGTTCCCAGCATCCACATCTGGTGGCTCACAATCACTCATAATTCAGTCCAGGGGATCAGATGCCCAGCACACACACACATACAGATACATACAGGTTAATAATAAATCTTAAAAAGTTTTTTTTTTATGTCAGATGGTTAAATTCTTTTTTTAATGTGGGCCATTTTCTCCAAGCTCCCCGAGCTTTCTGACAGCCAAGTTCCAACCTGTGGGACCTTAAGAGCATGTTCTAGGGTCATAGGAAAAGGACATTATCATACATTTTGGATGAATTTGATTCTTGTTTCACGAAGCCATCTATTCAGTCACAAATCTGTTACCTGAACACACAGAATTTTAGAAGGGGAGTTCTTGTAAACTTTGAGAACAGCTTAAATACTTCACTAAAGTTATGCAATGGTTATTTTTAGTTTATCAAGAAAGAGAAGCAAGCTAGAAAAAGTGCTAGATATCCATATTGTGAAAATTTTTTTCTTAAGACCAAGTCTCCACAGGTAACACATGGGAAAGGACTTCAAGTATGTAAGTATACATTTGCCTAGGACCTATAGAGAGACTAAGGAAAGTCCAGAACAGCATTATTACCATTGAGCTGTTTTTTGTTTGTTTGTTTGTTTTTCCGAGGCAGGGTTTCTCTGTGTAACAGTCCTGGCTATCCTGGAACTCGCTTTGTAGACCAGGCTGGCCTTGAACTCACTGAGATTCGCCTGCCTCTGCCTCCTAAATGCTGGGATTAAAGGTGTGCACCACCATCACCCGGCTGAATGTGTGGGATCTTTAAGAGTGATTTTAACCCAGGAGGGGGAAATGATGTGTCACGAGCTCAAAGTGACTCAAATGATAAATGTGAATTTGTTTTTGCAAAAGTTATTTTCCAGAGGAGTGGATATGATCAAAATACATTGTATACATGTATAAAATTCCCAAAGAATAAATTAAAAATATATATTTAAAAAGTTATTTTCCAAGTGAACCAAGACAGCTAGGTGGGCTAAAAAGACTATTCATAAAATATATGGCGACCACGGTCCTTAGACCTACTGAGGTCAATTTAAAATAGGTAATTTAGAAAACATGTTAACAATATATCATTAACATCAATTATAATGTAAGAAGTTAAGACTGAAATACCAAGGAGAGGATGACAGTATCCTTTTACCAAAGGAAGGGCAGCCTGGGCTGGAGGGCGGGGCGGGGCCAGGGTAGAGCTTACAATAACATTATACAGAACTATCTCCTAACACCTCCCACTCTGCAGCTTACAGAAGCTCAGCAAGACCAGGAGCAGACCTGGATGAAAAATAACCCACACATACGCTCAGAATATTTATTAGATACTGTCCCCTGGGGCTTGCGGGAAAAAAGACTCAGGCCACATCCCTTTCCCAAGCACCTTCCTGAACTAAGGATTCTAGGGAATCTGATGTCCCAAGCAAGCCAGAATGTATCTGGGTAGAATGGCCATTCGTTTACCAGATCTGACACTACAGTTATGTGTTGGCCAGGGAAGGGAAGGGTCCAGTGAGAATGGTAGAGGTACTAGATGAAAGGAAACAAGATTGGCCTTCATCAATCACAACATTGGTTCAGAGGGGCTTGAATAAATAAGAGTCTAAAAAGACTGGGAAGAGGACAGCCAGGGGGCAAAGGAAGGTCAAGAGCTGGGTTCCCCTAAATCACAGAGTTGTAGAAAGAACCAGGGTAGCAACTTGAGTCCTCGGGAGGAAACAGGAATTAAGAGTGCAGCACCTAGGGACAGGAAAAGCCCAGGGCTTCTCTTCCAAATTGACCACAGGTAAGTGCAAAGTTCCTTTCCCTTCAGAGAGTTCAAAATGCAGGTAAGGAGATGTGGTGACATACAGCCCCAGGGCAGGCTACATTTCTCCTCATTCCCAGAGGCCCTGCCTAATGGAAACACCAAGTCTGAGGACTCAGCTCCTGCTCCCTAGCTCCAAGAGAGGGAGCAGAAACAAGGCACGAAGTCCCTGGGAATCAAGGGGACATGAGTATAGTCATATATAACATTACTTTTGGGAGCAGGAAGAAGTGAAATGCCCCAAAAGGGATGCCTTCCTTCACCTGGCAATGAATTGGCCTCTTTCTAACAGCAGAGCGCATGATGGAGTAGGGCTCATAGAAATGGCCTAGAGAACAGATCCTCAGCTGGTATGGCACAGTCTTGAAGGGGATGTAGAGAGTGGGGGGGCAGCTGGCTCCCAGAGACGATGCTCCTGACTCAGTTCCCAATGGTTCTGCTGACTCCAGATGCTCCCCACGGCTGGGACTCAGGGAGGAAAAACCGTGTTGTGTTTCACATGATCAGACACTGTTCACCATTGGCACCTGGTGGGCCCGATAGATTGAGGGTATCCAGGTCAAAGTTGAGGCCAGGAGGCTGGAGAAGAGATGAAGGGGCTGAGAAAACCACTCGTATTTCAAGTCAGAGCTTCTGAAGGTCCATCCCTAGCAGCCACAATGATCACCTTACATGGATTAACTAGGGATTACTGGAGTCTGCAGACTGGGAACTGGGTTAAAATGTAGAAGACATACTCACCATCTCCCCAGCTAGCTCTTTTGGAGGATGGCCCAAGTCTTGTAACTAGAAAATAAAGAGAATAAGCGGTCATAAAATAAGAATCACAGAAAACACCACAAAAAGCAACAATGTGACTAGTGATCTGATTCCTCTGGCCATGGTATGCACCCAGGCTTAGTCGTGTAGCACCCTTTCCAGACACCTCCATTCAACCAGCGTGGACAGCTCCAGGAGGGAGGCAGTGAAGGGAGGGCTTACCTGCTGCATAAGGTCCAGCACCGCCTCGAAACGAGCCCTGTGAGTAGCCTCACTGTCCGTGGGTGTCTCTGCCTCAAACTGCTCACATATTTTGCCCATAACAGTGTGCTGCTCCTGATACTTTTCAAACTGCTCTGGAGGAATGGATTCCTGGTGACTCTGCAACCATTCTGGATACTAAGGAAAGAGGGAATGGGTGGGAAAGAATTAAGTGAACAAGGAGAGAAAGGGACTTAAAGTGTGAAGAGCATGAAGAGGAAACAAAGGCTACATAAGCAAGTTCACTGTGAAAAGGACAAAGTACTGTTGACTCCAACAGACCATCTGGATATACTGGTCTTTACGGTAACTGCAGATTAGTAAACGATGTGTGAAAAGCAAGAAAGTAATCATTTTAGGCTCTCAGGATTGTTCTAGTTTCATTTCTGTTGCTACGACAAAACATAAAAAAAAAAAAAAAAAACACTTGGGGAGGAAAGGGTTTATTTCATCTGATACTTCCAAGTAACAGTCCATCCCTGAGGGTAGGAACTCAAGCAGAGACCATGGAGGAATACTGTCTACTGGCTTACTTTCTTGTGTGGTTTTTTTTTTTTTTTCTTTCTTATTTAGTCTAGGCCCATCTGCCTAGGGATGGTGCTACCCACAATGGACTATGCCCTTCCAACACCGACCATCAATCAAGAAAATTCCTCACATACATGGCCATAGTCCAATCTGATCTGGGCAATCCCCCAACTGAGACCCCCTCAAATGACTCTGGGCTATGTAAACTTGACAGCTGCAGCTAACTAAGACATGGGTCATATATGATCTCTATTGAACATTGTTGTTCTCTGTTTTTTTTTTTAGATTTATTTATTTTTATTTTGTGTGTATTAGTGTTTTGCCTGCATGTATGTATTTGTACCATGTGCATACCTGGTGGACTTGAAGGTCAGAAAGAGGTGTCAGATCCCCTAGAAATGGGAGTTATGGATGGTTATGAGCTACTTACCATGCTGATGCTGGGAACCAAACCTATGTCCTCTGCAAGAGCAGCAAGTGCTCTTTAATAAAGCCCCCTCTGTTGTTGCTGTTGTTTTTTATAATTTTAAAAAATTCCATCCATTTTTTTATATGAATGTTTTGCCTGTATCTATGTCTGTGCATCATGTGTGTGTCTGGTGCTCTCGGAAGCTGCAAGAAGGCATTGAATCCCCTGGAACTGGAGCCACAGAACATTGTGAGCTGCCATGTGGGTGCTGCGAATTGAACCCAGGTCCTCCACAAGAGCAGCCAGTGATCTTAACTACTGAATCTCTCTCCATTCCTGTGTTTTTAAACTTAAAAATATAAAAACCAGGGCTAGGGAGGTAGATGGCTTAGTGGTTAAGAGTACACACTGCTCTTGCAGAGGACCCCAGTTCAAGTTCAACTGCCAGCACTCATGTTAGGTGGCTCACTGCCAGTTGTAACTCTAGTTTGAGGGTGGTCTGGTGCCTGTAGCCTCCACAGGCACCTGAACACTCATTCTCTCTCTCTCTCTCTCTCTCTCTCTCTCTCTCTCTCTCTCTCTCTCTCTCTCTGTCACACACACACACACACACACACACACACCTAATTAAAAAATAGTAGTAAAAATAAATTTTTAAAACAATGTAAACAACTGGGCGGTGGTGGTGCACGCCTTTGATCCCAGCACTCGGGAGGCAGACACAGGCAAATCTCTGTGAGTTTGAGGGCCAGCCTGGTCTACAGAGCGAGTTCCAGGATAGGCTCCAAAGCTACACAGAGAAACCCTGTCTTGAAGAAACAAAAAACAAAACAGCAAAACAACAAAAAAGAAAACAATGTAAACAATACTCTTAGCTTGAGAGTTGGACTTAGACTTTACAAACACTGGTCTGCAGACTTCTGGTGTTGCTACTCATTTCCCACTCAGTCATCTGTTGCCCTGTCATGCCAAAGAGCTTCTCTTTCTCTACTTCATTTCTCTAGTAAAACGATAAGCTTTTTAAAGCAAGAACTATCATTTAAACTACTCTCAAACTGTTCATAACACCACCACAAAATCCTGTGAGTTCTTACTAGAAATACAAGAAGGAATGTGTCAGTCAAACTCGAGAGTCTTGAACTAATTTAGAGAAAACTAAAGCTGAAGAATTTCCCCTTCTAACTCAGACAGTCCCAGTGTGAACAAATGATCAGATCATCTATGTACCTTTATTCTCTCAATAACAAGTTCTACCTTCAACAAACAAATGAGTTTTTTTTTTTTTTTAAAAATGTACTTGTACACTCCAATTAGCCTTTTACTATGCATAGTCTGAGCAAAGTGCCCACGAGCTGATATAATGAAGCAAGGTGAAAAAGCAGAGTAGAAATTCCCAAACCTTTTCCGTGATCTCCTTCAGGGATGGGTACAGTACATCCTTAGACAGTAGGTTCTGCATGATACTCTGCATGATGGGGAGAATGTTCCCTTCCCCATCCCCTTCATCCATGCCCAGCCCTTCCATGGCTTTGGTCAACTCCTCTTCAGACATGCCCGAGTTCTAGACAAGATAAAAGAGAGGCGAACTGGTTATACTGCCTTCCTGGAATGCTTATCACACTTTCAGATGGAAAGAACAATCTAGATGTGCCTGTAACAAAAATCAAGGCAAGGTCAGATTTGGGGAGATCCCCTAGAGCATCTACTTTGTGAGACTGCTCAGGGTGCATCTGGGAGTGGACCCCCACTCCTTTCCCTTTACCTGGAGGTCAGTGGCATTTTTGGCTAGCCCACTTAATGTCTCCTTTAGGCAAGAAGTAAATTCTTGTTGAGAGTTTGCATCACTGCCTAGGAGAGATGAAAAGAACCAAGATTACCTAGGATTTTAACTGTCAGCTTGTCTAGACTGGCCTACTTACCAGCCTGGGTATAAAACATTTACTAGCAAACTACCACCACTTCAAAATCTTAACCACTCTTTGGCCATTTTCATGGTCATGCCATAAACCTGTATAGATAATGTGTTCATTGTTCTCCATGGTAACACTGTCCTTTAAAAGGGTTGGTTTGGAATAATCTTATTTATTTATTTACCTTTGAGACAAGGTCTCACTATGTAGTTCTAGCTGTTCTGGAACTCACTATGTAGACCAGGCTCCATCTGCCTCTGCCTCTCAAGGGTTAAAGAAATACACTATTATACCTGGCTGAAATAATCTTTTCTTTACTACTTTCCAAAATATCTTAACCTTTTCTTTCAGGAAGCAAGATTCCCAGACCTGTTTCTCTTGCCTTGTCCCACTCCATCGCTGTGACACTACAATGGTTATCAATTTTACAATCCTGGTATTGTCGAGCAATAAAGAGGTCTGTCCAGTATTTTTTGTTTGGGGATGCCTCACCCACTCTCCCAGCTGCTTCTGAGAGCTTTTGGAACTGTTCCACCAGGTGGGGCTCTTCTTCAGCCAGCTCCTTCATTGCCTTCTCAAACTCAGCGGTGGCTTGGGAAGCCAGCTCACTGTCAAACAGTTCCTGGAAAAATTTCTCTTGAGAGGCGAAGAGGGCATCCTGCAGGGGAGAGGCGGACAAAATTCACCTCTTACAGAAGCACCCTGAGTCTAGCCTCCTAAAGGAGCTCAGGTAGTAGTTTTGGGAAATGAAGCATCTTCCCCATAAACACCTCCATTTAACATTCTGTCTGCCTCTTCTCAGGGGGCAGCAGCAAAGAATCTGGCCACTGAATAACAGGAGGGAACATACAAATCCAATCACTTAAAACTGCTCTTTTCTCAAGACACTTCCTGTTCATCCCTCAGAACAAGCCCAGGTCCTTGTTTCACAGGAGCTGAGGCCTGAAAGAACACTCAGCAGCGTGAGGCAAAGGCATCCTCCCACCCACCCTTCTGGCCCACAGGGCCTGTCCCACCCCTGCTCTGAGCAACATGTCCATCCCCCCTCCCTTAAGGGGGTGGGATTTATACTTTGGCAGTGTCTCCTGGCGATCTCTTCTGGGGCCCTGAAGCATCAGGGGCCGAGGTGGTAGGAGGGGGTGCTGGGGAGGGTTTGGCTTTATCGAAATCATCAAGAGCACCTTTGGAAACAAGAGACATGGTGGGTATGTTGGGGATGGATAAGGCTAGAAAACTGTGTGATTCTGAGCAAACTATTAGGAAAATAATCATATAACATGCCAGATCTCCTGAACTTCTCTCTTCTTGGTGTCTCTCTTGCTTGTCCACTGAGCAACAGGCTTCCCACCTTTCCTTGGGAATCACCTAATTTATTGTGACCAATTGGTAAGAAAACCCTTTACACAGAACCCTCCAGAACTAGGAGGAAAGGACTAAAAAAGCTGTGCAGAGAATTTTTCTAACATTTTTGAAATATTTATTGAGTGCCTAATATGTCAGATACAGAGGTCTAAGGAACTTGATTGCTTGTGAAGAATGACACATGAATAAACCTGTTTGGCGTATAAAATTATTCAGAAACCCAAAAACTAGAGGAAATGCCTAACCAGTAGAATATCAGAGTGAACTGTGTGGTCAAGCGGCGGAGAAATCTTTATATGCATACTATAAGATTCCCTAAAAATCTCACACAGTTATCTAACATATATAGAGGGGAGAGATAAGACGTATTTCTTTGAACTCACTTTGAGGACCTAAAGGCAATAACCTCTTATAAGAAAGCACAGGTTATCCCACCCAACTTTCCATGGGCCCTACTACTAGTACAAACTCCACTCATTCTACAGGAGGGCATTAAACGCTTAACTTATATTCCAGTCTAGTTGTCCCTCGGCAGGCACCTAGCAGCTCCCCTTGGCCTTACATGCAGTTTAACCCTGGGCCAATCGAGTCCCTTGGCATGCCTCACTAAATCTGTTCATTTTCTGCCCGCCTACATCGCTGTGACTGAGCAACAGATAAAAGGTTCACCTTTGCCCTGAAAAGCCTGCGCTGTCACCACCACTCTGCTTGCCAGGGCTAGGGAAAGGGCACTGGCCTCACTCTGGCAGGAAACCAGAGAGGAGGGCAAGAGCGAGAAAGAGAGGAGCATCCACCATCATTTCAGGAAGACGAACTGTTTTCCCCTGGGACTGGCTCACTCTCAGTTTCTCCAAAGGATGAAAAAGGATGTCAGGCATGGAGGTGCCAAGCTGGCCCCGGGAGGCAGGGGCCAGAAAAACCCCAAGTTCAAGGCCACCCTTGAGTCTGAGGCCAGCCTAGACTACACGAGACAGTCTTTCAAAACAATCATTTTAGAAGTAGTTTCCTTGAACTACTGGCACGAAAGAACTAAGGGCCTGGTACAAGAACGAGGAAAGATTGCGAGGCAAAGGAGTTAAGAAAGAAATGATCATGGACATAAGGGCCCTTGGAGTTGAAGGTTATTTTGTTCCGTGGATGCTGCTGGCAGGAGATTTCAATCATTTACTAAAGCCGGTCCTGGAGGCTCCAGCCTGTCATCTCAGCACTCGCGAGTTCAAGGCCAGCCTGTGCTACAGGGGGAGACGCTGCCTCAAAAACAGTCCGCCAGTCTAAAGCAAGAGAAGTTTGGGGCAGGGGGTGGGGTGATGAAACATCTCATTACAGTTAGTTTTCCCCTCCGCAGTAACATTTGCGGTCCGGACTGATCAGTGACCAAGGTGAACGCCCAGCTCCCGCTAATAAGGAGGGCCGGGGGTCGAACCCAGACCACCTCCCCCGCCAACCATTGGAGAACCTCGCGCTCCGCCCCCAAATCTCAAGTCCATTTAACCCCCAATGGGTCCTCGCCCCCCGACCCCTCTAGCCCTGCCCACCATGGGCTCTTACTTTCCAGAAGCTCCTCCAGTTCCCGGTCCGCTTCGACCCCAACATCGCAACCTTCCTCAGCGGCCGCCATCTTGCTGCCTCCGACTTGCCGTAGGAGGCGGAACCCCTGGCGCCACCACACGTCCCGCCCCTGGACCCGCCCCCACGACGTGGACAGCCAATGACAGCGTTCTGCTGGGCAGGACCGCCATTTTTAAAGGGACAGGAAACGTGGGCTTTGTTGTTGTTTTTCTTGTGGGAATCAACCTAGGTTCTTGCACGAACCAGGCAAGCACTGCACCCCCGGAGCTACACAGCCACAGCCGTCACTAGATAGGTTGCGCAGGCTGATCTAGAAATCGGGCTCCTCCCTTCTCCATTTCCCAAATGCTTGACCCACCAGGCTCAGCTTGATGTAGGGGCCAGGGTTTGGGGGGGGGGGCGGGGCAGAAGAGGTGAGAGGATTTATTTGCTTTCGTTTTGTTTGTTTACTCTCCCTTTCATCTGAAACTTTTAGTCTGGAGAGGTTTGTTTTCAGTCAAATTCTTCTAACCCTACTGCCTCCACCTTCCAAGGGCAGAGAGTGCACCTCAAGGCTCAGCTAAATCCGAAGCTATAAAACTTCTCTAGGTAATGTGCATTTTTTTTTAGGCTGAGACAGAACTGCCAGATTGAGGCAATCTTGGTTTCATTCCCAGGGCCTGCATGGTAGGAGAGACGTCTACCACACACTGAACTCTAACTGCCACATGTATTCCTTGACACATACACAAAACAGATGAACAAAATAAAGATTGCCAAGTCTATTTTCAGCACGTAGCAAGTATCTACAGTTGTATGCAATCTTACTCTGGGCACAACGAAATAAATAAATCAGAGTTGGTCCTACCTGTAAGGGTTGACTGGAGGTGGAATTGGAAACACAGATGGTAATTAATAGAATTAAGACAGACTCAAAAACAAACACAATTCTTTCTCTGAATTAATTCTGAAAGATTGTGTCTGCATTTGTTTTGTTTTTGTTTTCTCGAGACAAGATTTCTCTATGCAGCCCTGGCTGTCCTGGAACTCACTGTAGACCAGGCTGGCCTCAAACTCAGAAATCACCCTGCTTCTGCCTCCAGAGTGCTGGTACTAAGGGCATGTGCTACCACATCTGGCTCTGCTTTGTATTCTTACTATTGATATCCTTAACATCCTATCTTAATGCTAATTTACCCCGACCGACCGCTCTTTCTAACTTCCTAATATATTGTGAATACTGACAAAATAGTATTTTATAGCTTTCCCCTCTCCTTTCTTGCTTGAAGCGGGGGCTCATTTAGCTCAGGCTGGCCTAGAACTCCTTATCCCGTTGCCTACACACCCCAAGTACTAGGGTGTACTATTTTCCTCAAAGCATTTTTTGTCTTGTTTAAGGACTTAATGGCTCTCCACGGCTTATTGATTAACTTCAGGTTCTTGACTGATATTCACAATTATTTCATATATATCCATTCTTCTTTCCCCACTTAGATAAGTGACAAGAAGCAGAGATTGTCAACTTTGTTCACAAACTCAGTTTAGATTGTGTACAATTTTGTGATTTAATTTGTAAACTTATAAAAAAGACTTTTTCTTTGTAGACAGGTTCTCACTATGTAGCACTGGCTGGCCTAGAACTCACAGATATCTGCCTGCCAAGACTGAAAAAAATATTTTTCTCAATTTTCCCCCATTTTTATTTATTTATTTTTCTATTATCAGCTTGATATAGTGTAAATTCTTTTTTTAAAGGTTTATTTATTTATTATGTATACAATATTCTGTCTGCATGTGTCC